GTGGTGCTGAATGTGCTTTTACTGAATTTTCGGCTTAGCAAGCTACTGAACACAACATTAGGAATATTTCCAGTAGGCAGTAGGTGAACTTTAAATCCATGTAAAAGTAAAAGTTGCTGTGCTTTTTTAATAGAAAACAAATGCCAGGTTGGTACACCACACAAAATCATCAGAAAAGGCAAAAGATAACAACAACAGAATGGCATCGGACGTTACCCTGCATAATTTAAAGATATAACAGTAATATAAGTAAAGGGTTTTTTCAAGACAAAATTATTTGAATTTCATGAACATGACATATTTGAAACAGGGCTGACAAGTCGTCTAGAATACTAGATGATGGATTGCTGAGAAACGTAATTTTCACTTTACTAGAACCACGGCATGCACACAATTCTATCCCCCAGTGCTTTGCTGTAACAGCGAATCTAGTCCAAAACGACAGCCTTGAGAACCTGAATACAAATCTATCACAACTGGAATGAGTGCGTTGTTAGAAAGGTAAGGATTCTCTCTGCATATTAATTTGTACAGAAACGTACAGTACTGATGCATGGACTCCGGCCAGTACGCATCCCAGCAAAATGCCTGTTCTTGGTCCAGATGAAGTCAAAGGCAGTGTTTTCTTTGACTTCAGCTGAGGTACAGAAAGGCCAATAAGTACCTAAATGGTACTTTATTAAAATGACATGCACACTTTCTAGTAGTGCCAGTTAATCCTGTCCATTTAAGGGGAAAATCAGTAACACAAGTTTAGCATTTTGTAATTACTAATGAATGCCCTGCTGTACGTATATTTTGCTCATCCCTGTAAAAAAACCTAACATATGAAAAAGCACTTTTTCCAGAAAGCAAAACTTAAACTAAGTCAAGTTAAAATAAAGTGAAATAATATATTTGACATTCTTGGGCTACTCCAAGGAAAAAAAAATATTTGATCTCTGACCAAAAAAAAAAAAAAAAAAATCAAGACAGACAACTAACTCTTTATCAGGAGAATGAAGAAAAGGAAACTGGAAGATTCTATCCTTCGTTCCTGTCTGTCAGTAAAAGTTTTTTTTATCTAAACTGTGATTGCAGGGGAAAAGACCATGTACAATTTAGCTGTTTCCAGAATTCAGAGTTTAAAGTTTGGAGCTTGAAAAACTTCAACTACTAAAACGTGTAAGTCTTTTAAATGTCTGTATTTTATTCTAACAGAATTTAAGTGTATATCATATACATTCCTTAAGTCTACTCTTACTAAATTTTGATGTTAAACAGAAAGGGGAAACCATGTGCAACTAGATTAATTTATCTCCAGGGAGTAAGGACACATTAATAATTGAGATAATGTTTTCATATATGTTGGAATCAAGTGTGCCTTTTCACTTCTTTATTAGAAAACACATTAGGGGAAAATTATATCTCATCCTCATCAGAAAGACCTAATTGCTGAGAAAGTCTCTACTTTCTTTGCAATAACAAAAGGATTGTTCTCAGTACTTCAAAATGAAAAAAAAAAAAAGATCAGAAATATTATCAAGCAGTGCTGGAATAAACGCCTGTACTACCAAAGAGAGTGTTTACTTAATACACCCAGTCCTGTTTTTGTTTTAAACAAATCAGAGTTTATTGTATTTTTATGAAATACAAGCAAACTCTGGATTAGACAAAAGTGGGCCAAAGGGGAAAAAAAAAAAAGAACTACAACTAAAAATGACTAATATTTTTGGCTTTCTGGAGCACTGATCTTTCTGTAAGTTATAAAAAATTATCTTGGCTGATTGCGAGAGAGCTCCATAATTTCCCATGAACACCCATAGGTGTCAAGGCCTGTTGTGAGGTAATGGAATGGTTTGTAATTTACTCTGAATCGCTGCACATTATGCTGTATGGATTACATACAAAGCAAACACTGAATGCATGGTGGGAACACTTGTGCAGACAGACTGAAGCATGTTTCCATAGCGTTGAACTATACATCAAATGCCATGCTTCTGATGTTTCCCACAACAAAGAGAATAAAAAAAAAAAGCCACCAAATCAGTAACTATACTTAACAGTCTTTGCAACAGCCCTTCTTTTTATCTGGCGTACACTGAAAACAAAGAACTGTAAATGAAAACAAATATCTATCAACTTTATTTCACGGTGCCGAGAGGAAAAATGTTAGAATGCTATTTACAGTACTAAGAATGAGAAGTTCTCTCTATAAGGTCCATCAAGACCTAATGCTAAATAATTGACCTGTGGACATTCTCGCATTTGCAGCTATCTTGAAAAGATTGGTGGAAGAGAATTGACTACAGCCACAACTTTATAAAGGGACAATGAGGAGACATTCCTTTAACATTAACAGTGATTTAATCCACGCTCCTATACCATATAGACTAAAAGAATACAGCCTAGTCAGATACATACTTTCAATTGCTTTTATTTATTTTCATAGATCAGCTCTGTAGAATCACACACACTTTCTGATTACTTTCCTTTGCTATACTTTTTCTTTATTAAACATAAGTTCCCTGATACAGAAAACACACCAAAACAAAAGTCAAAACAAACGAGAAACGGCCAAAACTTTTAGCTAGAGCTTAAAAGTATGTGATTCTTTGCTAAATATTTTTGCCATTAACAGAAATAATCCAAGACCGTGAGCTGCCCACAATACCTCTCCAAAAAACAAATAAATTTAATTATTATTTTTAAGATAATTCACTTAAAATACACACATTCATTTTGCTAGCCAACAGGAAATCTGTGTTATGTGTTAAGAACAGCAGAGCAAACCCACACAAAAACTCAGCTGACACCCATCGATGGCCTGAATCTGGCACATACATTAGTATTATTTCTTATTTTTACTTAATGTCTTTTTCTTCTTTGCTTTTGCCTTCCCCCCCAACGACCTTCCTTCTCTCTTCCTTTAAAACAATTTTTCGATTCATCTGAAATTAAACTAAAAAATTCTTGTCTATTTAAAAAAGATGTTATCAATGTTTTCAACTTAATTTGCATGAAACTGAAACAAATAATTTTTTTTAATTGATAATGTAAATATTTAAGGCTAATGTAAAATTATCCAACTCCATTTATTTTAGCTAACTTTCAATGTTTTATGTAACTTGATGATCTGGCAAGCTTACTTTTTAAATTCTCTTAATTAATATAGTCTAAACTACAAAATCCCTCTTAGCAATGAAAATAAAGCTTCCAACATCATTATAGAGTGCTCTATAAAAAAAGAGATTTGATTAATAACATATCCCAAAATTCACTTCTTATAATCACTGGACTTTGGTAGGAACAGAATTACGTTCGATGTCTTAATATCTGCTATACAAGAGAAATTTCATCCCCACTGAAGGCAGCAGCGGAACTCCCAATGACTGCAAGTCATCCAGTTTTACCAAGTAAATTCAGGTGTGTTCTGAGACTGATCTTTTATTCTTTACTGTGAAAATCTCCCTCTTGCCACAGTGGCTCTTTTGGGAAAATAATTAGAGACAAAGACCCTGATGTGTTACTTGCTACTTGTTTGCGTATAAGAAATGCGTAGGAGCTCTTACTCATAGAAAGAAGTCATACATATTAGGTAGCATGCAAAAATAGAACATAACGATGAAAAGAGCTGATCGTCAGTCCCAAAGAGCTGACAACCTAAATATTCACAGGTTTTCTGTGAACAAGTGCTGTACACAACATGCTGGCTCCACACCACCAAGTATCTTTCAAATATCCTTTCACTTTTACTGCGTACCCACTGAAGACAGCAAAAACACTTTTTGCATTTTCGTGGACTCCTTATCGTGTTTCTAACTGGCAAGCGCGTCCCCTCATATTCTGAAGATTTAAATTTGGTCCAGATGAGAAGTATCACCTTGCAGATCTACGGGCATGTTTCTCCTGCCTCTCCATAGCAGTTAGCCTTGAGGTGAACAGGAGCTGCAGCTACAGAGGACCAAGCAGAACTAAGAACTGACACCCTCCAGCACACAGTGAAGAAGAAATGAATTGCAAAAACTAGGCAGGCAGTAGGCTGTTTCTGTAAATAAGAAGTACTGATACACAAAGGGATTGTACGTATTCCCTATGAATTATGAGACCTGGGTGTAAAATGAGCATATACTGTCTTTTCTTTCTAAATTAACTTACCACAAGATGGTTAGCATCTGCGTACAAACTATACTTAAGTACAAAACTCCAGTGCTTCACTGGAGAAACTGCACGTGGTCACAAACAGTGTACAGTCACAGATGTCCCTGTACGGCCAAAGGAATACAATAGCAGGTTTATCATCTGTTCTGCCAAACCACAGTCAGTGTTCATTGCAAAATAAACCAAACTGTCACAGCCTGAATGTTTTCATATCAATTACCACTATTACCCTCCCTAAGATGGTGAAAAATACAAAACAATAACATCTTCAGAGATCTGAGAGTGGCTTTCACGCAAAAGCACAGAAAGCGTCATCAGAGGAATGTGCGATCGGTGCAGGACCAGAGATTGTGAACAAGCACTAACACTGTCACTGTGCAGATAGCAGGGCTGTAGAACAGGCTGCTGCACCACTTTCAGCAGCGTTTGTGGACTGCTGTAGGCTGCAGCAACGGTGCAACACGACATCTCAACCCACGTGTGCTACTCGGACTACGATGATACAGCTGGTACGGTGACCTGAGAGCTCCATCAGCTCCTGTTACTCAGGTCAAAATGTAAAGAGCGCCAGGTGTTACAGTCCACAGCCTTCTCTGGTCGTGTGTTTCTATTCCACACCACAACACCTGCAACATCTGCTCTTCCTACGCAAACCAAACAGAGCTCTGAGGTGTTCCCTGTTTTTCTGGCTACCGCTAGTGAGGCAAGCCCTTTGCTTGCACTGGGTACATCTTTAAATCTGCTGGGCAGGCTGACTTAAATTGTGCTGGTTTCTTTCACTGCTAGTACCACATGCAATTACACTCAACGTCTGCTTCGAAACAATCAAATCTGACCAGGAAGGAAAGATACCGACTTACTTCCCAGAGATGCTGAGTGTTCCTGATGGCTCCCGCTTGAACCTTCTCTGGCATGAGCAGGACTCCCTGGAAGGGCCCAATCCAGGTGCCCTGCTGGATCCGCTGCGCCGCACAAATGCCGTAGGCCAGGCCGGGCACCGTGCTGGTGCACAGGCACACCTCCCGCGGCAGGTCCCGGA